CCGCTGATGACGACTATTTTAGGTATTGGTCGAGAGTAGACAATGTATGACCAAAAATAGACATAAGTGTCTACCATGTCCTTGTCTACATAAAATCCGATGCTCCAATCGAAAGGGTAGTGCAAATTAAGGAAACGTCGCGCCCACTGCCGCGCGCGACGAAGCGGCAATTTACGATTCTCTTGCCCGTCTCCCGAGTTTTAGCTCGGCTAGATCTCGCCCAGCCCGGTTAATGTGATGACTTCAGGTAATCGAATTGGCTCGCTGGTCACTGGGGTTTTTGACGTGACACCAGAACTCCGGGAACTGTCCATTAATGACAACGATATCACCACCATCGAAGATGGCACTTTCGCCAAGTTGACATCTTTGAAGAAGCTGAGCCTGAGTGGCAATCAAATCAGCGTCATTACAAAGTAGGCGATCTCTCAAGAATTTCTAGCCTTGAATGGGAGCTAAACTTGGTCAACGGGTGAATCATACTCATTTCAGGAACATGTTCAAAGGATTGGATTCGTTGGAGGTTTTAAACCTACAGAACAATCAAATCACTAGTATTGACTGGTCGGCGTTTGCCAATCTCAAACAGCTCAGGAACACTCGACTTAGGCACCAATCACTTCAGCAATGTGAGTTTCTTAAAAATAAAAATATAGGAGTGGAGAAGTGGCAAGAAGCGTTGTCACCACTGAAGCGGTCCACGGATCAAATTGTGTCCACGTCCAACATGCTTACTACCTCTGTCGATCTTCAAGAAAAAAAACTTGTAAATAGTAAAAATTAAATTTGTGCATGGGTTAGGCCCTGCTTGTCCATCCAGGGTCCCAGGTGCTCCTATTATTCCTATTGAAGATCCTGGGGGACTGATCATTCTTGACTTATTCTTCTTTCACCCTGATCCATTATGCTGTACTGTCGATTAAAGGCAGTGGGCACAATTGCTGGAGGCGGGCAGTTATTGCCGACGACATTGGTGCAAGACCGTGTGGGGTGTGGCCTTCTCGCAGCCTTTTTATAAA